ATGTGTATGTGTATGCGTATGTGTATGTATATGTATATGTGTATGCATGTGTGTATACACACACACATATATATATATATATATGAATGAATGAATGAATGAATGAATGAATGAATGAATGAATGAGTGAGTGAGTGAATGAATGAATGCATTAATGTGGGAATGTGTGTGTATATATATATACACACGTGTATAGACAGACCCATACACACACACACACACGCACACCAAATACACAAACACAAAACACATACGCCCGTCCTGGGATTTCGGTGAAGAACTGCAGCTCTTCCGGCTTTTCCAAACCCGGGGGCGGCTGGAATTTAAATTCCTCAGGCCCAGCTTCGATGTGGGCTGTTCTCTACAGTATTGTCCCTTTTAGGGCTTAGGGTCTAACGGTTTAGGGTTTAGTGTTTAGGGCTAGTCCCTGTTAGGGTTCTGCTTACCAAGGTGCTGCCTTCTTCTGGGTTCCTAAAACGGACCCTCGTTTCGAAAACTACCCATGTAGGGAGGACTTATGGCGTTTAAAATTGGGGCTTTGACTTGGAATATGCGCAGTAAGCAGGGGTATAACTGGTTCGGAACACTTCACTTACGGCACTTAGTGTCGTTGTTGCATCCTGCTTCCTAAGTTGGAGCTTTGAGGATTAGGGCTTACTGTTTGTGGGGATGTTGACAGTCTGTTGGCATGCTGTAAGCATGTCAGGGGTTGCCGTGTTCTGCTGAGGACAAACACAAGCTACCCCAACAATCTGCATTCAGGTCTTCTGAATGCACTTTTCCTTGTATTATGAGTCCTTGGTGCCAACTCAAACCTAAAATCTCTAAAGCCCTACAGGGAAAAGCCCCAAAGCCCACAGCCCCAAAAGCCAAACCCCAAAACCGTAAAGCCCTGGAGCTGGATCCAGGGTACCTTTATCTGGCCTTTCAAGTAATCAGGGAGAAACAAGCATAAACTTGTATGTCATAACGGTTCCTGTATGTTTAACTTATATGGAACAGGTACCCCCCCAAAATATCAAGTCTGATACTCCAGAACCCAGTCATGGGACCCATTTAGGAACTGTACAGTTCCTTCAGAAGCGCTGGAAACCCAAAGGAACCCTGATAGCACCCCTTTGCAGGAACCCTACAGCTCAGAAGCCCTTCCAACCCAAAGCTCCCCCCCCCCCCCCCCCAAACCTGCCAGGTGGCTGCCATGACACATTCTACATGGTCGAAATGAGGGAGGTAGTAGCCCTGAGGGCGGCACTGCCCTAAAACACTAAGCCCTAAACCTTACACACCCCAAGCTATAAACCCTAAACCCCTAAACCCCTAAACCCTAAACCCCTTAACCCCTGAACCCCTAAACCCCTAAAGCCCCTAAAGCCACTAAAC